AGACAGTGAAAAAGACATAGAATGCAATGTGATTGCATAGGATTTCATGCAAAGTAAGTATTCTTCAAAGTCTGAAAAATTAAATGTTTGTGTACACACACACACACACACACACACACACACATATATATATATATATATATATATATATATATATGCACATATTATATATATATTTCTTGATTAAAAAAATATATGTACTATTACTATTGCTAGAACATTTTTAAATCTGGGTGGGGAACACGTCAACACTCTTAAATAGCCATTAAAAACAAGCTATCCTTTATTTTTAAAGCATTTTTTATTTAAAATCATTCCTGTGAGAGACAAAAGTTCCCCTAGTTGAAGAATCACCCACATAAAGTGTGGGTTTATAGCACATACATTTTTATGCTTAGACACTGGAATGTACAATGTATTTTTCCCAAATGAAAACCTTTTTACATACAGTATGTAGACTTTAATGTTTTTACAAATGGAATTCAAAGGTGGATTTTATTGCATTTGTTATAAATGACATTAGTTAAATGTTTAATGCCATTACATTTATCTAACAGTTGAAGCATTTACCTAATTTTGCATTCTGTGTGTCATAGATTATATCATATTTCATACTTAATGAGCTTTGATTTTAATTAAATCAATCTAAACAAAGAGTGCAATTGATTTTACTTATGTTAGGCTCTCTGGATTTCATTTATTAATAAAACTGCCATTAAAAAGCTCATTCTCAGATAAAGATTTTCTATCATTTACTAATAAATGAATGTTTTGCTCGGGGGTGTCTGAGCACTGAACCCGCTCACCTGTGAAGTTACCCTCACAAAGGTTCCAGTTTTTAAAGGATTTCAACAGATTTGTAAGTATTCGTGATTTTGTATGTATAGTTGTAAAGGAGGATGGCATTATGTTGATGCTGGTATTGGGCATTTCATAGTCTATATTTAAGCATAAATGTGAGAGAAAAAAGGGAGATAAAGGCCTAAAATTGCAAGTTGACCTTTAACATAATTAAAAGACTTATGGGATTGTTTCCAGTTTGAAAAATGTATGAACCACTCACATTTCTCATGCTTGATTCATTTAAACTTTGCTTATCTTTGTGTAATTTCTTGAATTTAGCTGGCAGCTTATTAAAAATCTTTCAATGGGGACAGAGATGATAAGAATGGATAGTAAGAAATCAAAAAGAATGATTTTATGATTTCATCAACCAATAGCAAGCGCAAACAGAACACACCAATCCAGTGGAACAGACTGGCCTTAAAGGGGTCATATGATGCGATTTCAATTTTTACTTTCTCTTTGGAGTGTTACAAGCTCTTGGTGCATAAAGAAGATCTGTAAAGTTGCAAACACTAAAGTCTCAAATCCAAAGAGATATTCTTTATAAAAGTTAAGAGTCAGCCACGCCTACCTAAAACGGCTCGTTCTAACACGCCCCTACATATCTACCTCACTATGATTTCAGTAAACATCATAAGCTTATTTTTCATCAGAAGCTTAGTTTACTGTTCTGTATAAATGACTTTTATTGCAGCTTTTGAATGTGATTCTATTCTATCATAAACATACTTGTATAGACATACAATCTTCACCTCAGGGGTGATTAAACAGAGAAAACATTGCATGGATATTGAGGGAGGTAACCAAGCCACAAAGACCAAGTGTTAGAGATTTTAGCAATGGATTTATTTGGCATAGGCCTAAATACTGCATAGCAACACCCTAGCATCACAACAGTTTTCACAGGAAATCATCGTTCACAATTTCTTTTAAAAAATAAATAAATCTGTTAGTCTAATTGCAGGGATGAATGAATTGCATTTATGTGTGTTTGTGGTAAATTTCCATGTGTTTATTGTGAGAATGACAGGTTCTGTGTTCACTTATGCTGCTGTAAGCTTGTGTGTGTGTGTGTGTGTGTGTGTATGCGTGTGGCTGCAAGTCATTTCACACTTTCATACACAAATTTCCACGCTTTATATGTGTATGTGTGTGCAAACGTGAGGAAACAGAAAATGCCAGCGGAGGAGGACGAGCGTGCGAGGTGGACAAAAGGCAGGGTGAGTAATTCCTCCAAGTCTCTGACGAGCCCGAAACCTGACAGATGAATTTAAGAGCATGCGATTCAAATCAAATCAAAGCAAATCAAATATATATATATATATATATATACATTAGTGCTGTAAAACGATTAATCGCGATTAATTGCATACAGAATAAAAAAGTTTTTGTTTGCATAAAATATGTTTTGTGTATATTTATTATGTATATATAAATACACATACAGTATATATTTTGAAAATATTTTCATGTATTTACATGTCAAATTTATATTCATATAATTTATATTATAAATAAATATATTTAATATAAAAACAATGAGAGTCCAAACAGCTGATAAAAACATCAATAATCCACAAGTAATCCACATGACTCCATCAATTAATGCCTTATGAAATAAAAGCTGCATGTTTGAAACAAATCCATAATTTAAGGCATTTTAACTTCATACCAATGTTTCTAGCCAAACTATAAGTCCATAATCCATAATAATGTGTCCTCTAGTGAAAAGGTCCATCTCCTGTTGTCTTCTCGGTTCTCACATCAAAATCCATATTTATTTAGAACTGTTTTGGCTTGGTTTAGCTTGTAAACAGTACTTGGTCTGTGCATATTCCTCTCTAGATTCAGACAAGACAACTTTTCAACAGAAAAAGCAATATTATGGATAGAGGAATTGTATATGCTGAAAACAATGGTTTGAAGTTAAAAACGTCTTAATGTGACTCCATCAATTAATGCCTTATGAAATAAAAGCTGCATGTTTGAAACAAATCCATAATTTAAGGCATTTTAACTTCATACCAATGTTTCTAGCCAAACTATAAGTCCATAATCCATAATAATGTGTCCTCTAGTGAAAAGGTCCATCTCCTGTTGTCTTCTCGGTTCTCACATCAAAATCCATATTTATTTAGAACTGTTTTGGCTTGGTTTTGCTTGTAAACAGTACTTGGTCTGTGCATATTCCTCTCTAGATTCAGACAAGACAACTTTTCAACAGAAAAAGCAATATTATGGATAGAGGAATTGTATATGCTGAAAACAATGGTTTGAAGTTAAAAACGTCTTAATGATGGATTTGTTTCTTACAAACATGCAGCTTTTTACTTTACAGGACGTTAATTGATGGACTGGAGTGGTCTGGATTACGTGTGAATTATTGTGATGTTTTTTCAGCTGTTTGGACTCTCATTCTGACGGCACCCATTCACTGCAAACTGCAGAGGATCCATTGGTGAGCAAGTGAAACACTGCAGGTTTGTTAAACCAATGGAGAGCGCTTGGTAAGAGTCTGTATTCGTAAGTGTTGAAGTACTTAAACTTATTTGAATGCTTAAAATGCACATTAATGTATGAATTTTATCGAATTAGTAGCAAAATATAAAACCAAGTGGCATCTGCAAAAAAAGTAAGCTTTTCTCAGAAGTGACTTCACTTTTTTGCTGTTTTGCAGCATATTTTATAATCTGCAACAAATGCTTTTTTCTCACTTTTGGCCAATATCTATTGTTTTATCATTTAAAACCTAACTTTTTGTGAAATCATTCTTTATTTAAAATAAATGGCACTTGGTTTGATCTAAAAAAAAAAATCGAAATACTTTTCATGACCTTTGTGTTTAACTATGTGTGTGTCTGTGAATTTTTGCATGTACTGACAAGAATGTTGTGAATCTAAATCTCAAAACTTATTCATGAAAGTTTAGAAGGCCTACTCAGTTCGGTGGCCTCTGCCATACTCTATAGCACTAATAGAAATCATTGCCATCAGCCATGTGTCTAAATATGTTTGTAGTCTCAACCGCCAAAGGCTACTGCGTGCGCTCGAAGCACACATGACCGCAATTAGCATCGAAAAATACAGGCTGGTGTGCGAAAAATAGTAACTGCGTAAATAATGCTGCTTCGGATGCGTCTCAAGTCACCGGGTGCGCAGGCCATGAGCGGGTGCGACCGTCACACCGTCCCCAAGGGTTCAATGGAATTAGCGCGAGTTCTCCTCCAACACATCACGGATCAGAAGGCGCGCACGGCGTGGATCATGACTGGCCATTACCATCACTTAATCGGCGCTTGTGTCTTGATTAGAAGAACGGAGGTGACCGAGAACCCCCACGGAGGGAATAGGCAAACAGATCCACTATCCGCCCGGCCCGGGGAAAGCAGTAGGACACGAGGCTCTTCTCGGAAACCTTGACGTCAATGCGCACACGCATGAGGCATGTAAACCAAACCACCATCAATTAATGTCTTTGCCCTGGGCGAGTTACCAGAGAACCCTCTTGAAACCAGCACTGGAATCTGCCCTAGGAATATGATTTCTGTACAATTTTAAACCAATTTCGACTTCTTATTTTTTTGTTTCCTGTGAATCTTTTATGATTATAGGCCTATAGTCTATACACAGATTTTGAAGAGGCAATATAACAAGAGTGTGTTATGACACTGAAAAATCCCCACAGACTTGCTGTTAGATTCGAGGACCGGAACTATAACTGTATAGTTATCTTTATATTCTGACGGCCTTTTTTCATAACCCGCAGAATATATTGAGAAATTATCCTCTCTCTCTTTCATTCATACTCTGAGCCACAAACATATTAGTGAGGACTAGATGCAGTGTTTTAAGAGATGATGTGTGCTAAACCCTTTACTTTGGTAATGGTATAGCCTATTTCCCTTCCACTAAACTGTTCAAAAACTATTATTAGGTATTTTTTATTGAGTTTTGTTAGTGATTTCAGATTTTAGTATCCTTGTTGCGGGTATAGACTTGGTCAATGTAGGCAAACTCTGACAAACACACACAGAGACAAAAATACAGTATGTGTGTGCAGGGTTGGAGTGACGATTGCAGGTTAAATCGATCATTAATCCCTTTCACCTCCAGTAGGATTCACGCCCCTAATCGGTGTCATCTTTGTCACTCAGTCAGCATCACTCGAGCTCACGCGAAGGAAACCCCCCTCGCCTCCTGACGTCAGGCGGATCGTTTAAAAGGCAACTTTGGAGGAATGAGCTGCAACAGAAGGAGCAAAGAGACAGAAGAGGCAACTTACAACTAGCGCAGCGCTACCCGACGCATCTTTCTTCTTTTAATTTCCCACCAAATCAATACTTTCAAAGATGCTCTCCACGCGTATCCAGTGCGCACTGGCGCTCCTGTCCCTCGCGCTTGCCGTCAGCAGCGTCTCAGCAGCACCGACAGACGCCAAACTCCGCCAACTTCTGCAGAGATCTCTCCTCAACCCGGCTGGAAAACAGGTAAACGAATGCATACACAAAATACTAGTTTTGGTACTTTTATATATGTTATAAATGACTTTAGATTGAGTTCTAAATCGGTAGCAAACAAACTAAAATCACTGTCCATGGTGCTGAAATCGACGTTAGCGTCTACATCTTGAGACTTAGTTCTACAACTCATGGAGAACATATAGAAACGTCGTTTGAACTTGCATAATGTTGATTATGATTAATATAATCTCACGCAAACATAAACTGGTGATCATGGAATCCGAAAAGGCAAAAAATGGCAATGTCCCATGGCAGAAAAAAATAAATTATATCTAAGATATATAACATAAGCGTTAAACATTTAAGACTATACATTTTTGTCTACATATAAAACGGAAATAAAGTCAGATAACGAATGTCGGTTGTCAGTCCGACTGAAATTAAAAGATTTCTATGGAGCAAAAATATAAAAGTTGCAAACTTATGCTCTATTTAAGAAAACGTTTCAAAAATAGATGTAAAACTAAATCAGTGCCTACATTTTTAGACAGTTATTCGCTTTGTGCAAACATTTTCTTTCTTCACTTGAAAAAAATAGTGCAACACAGTCACTGGGGCGGTACGCTTTCAAAAGGCCCTAATATGTACCTTTAAGGTATTAATATGTAACATTTAGGGGCAAATAAGGTACACAGATGTAACTTCTAGCTTTCGTACCCTAGGGTACCAACCCAGTGACAGCGTTGAATCTTTTTTCTGAGAGCGTTCTCATTATCGAGCGCACCTTTGACAACAAGTGCAAACATACTAAAGTTTTGTTTCTCTCTCTCTCTCTCGATTTCTTCAGGAACTCGCCAGATACACACTTGCAGACTTGCTCTCAGACCTCGTGCAAGCAGAAAACGAGGCGCTGGAGCCCGAGGATCTGTCTCGCGCTGTGGAGAAAGATGAAGTGCGTCTGGAGCTCGAGCGCGCCGCCGGTCCGATGCTGGCACCTCGCGAGCGCAAAGCCGGATGCAAGAACTTCTTCTGGAAAACTTTCACGTCGTGTTAATTTCTCACCGCGCACCGTTTCCTTTTGACTTATTCTTTTTTTATTCCTTCATATTTATTTTTTTTCCGTCTTTCACGTATTCTTCATCATATCTAAACTGTATATAAGAAAATAAAAGCGACTATATTTGTCGTTTAACAACGATGATAGCTCTAATTGACTATGTTTTTCAAGGCTGTTGATGTGTCATTGGAAAGAATGTTTTGCGGATGTATGCGAATCTGCTTTTAATTGTACTTCAGCAGATATCACTATTTTTAATTGTTTGTTTGAATAAAATCTATGTTTCAGAGCCAATGCATAATGCAACTTTGTCACACCAACTTAAACACATACAGACCTCTTTATAAAACTGATTTTTCTAGTGTGTAAAAGCCAAAGGCATGGAAACAAGATAACAGAGGAGAAGGAAGATGTTTTTATATAGATATAATCAATAAATCTTTGCAATTATTTCACCAAACAGTTATGCAATGCTAAATGTGAAAAGTGATGGCAGGTGTGAGCTTGGCAGCTTATCAATAAGGTGTAATTTAGTGGTGACCTGCACTGTGTGGAAATCTTTCAGAGCCATTTAAGAGCCAAAGTGAACGTGAAAGGAGAGAGAGACTCTATTTGGCTGGTGAATCACAGAGGCTCTTAATAACCTTTCATTTTCAGCATTAAGAGATTCAGTTAAGAAAGCTCTCAAACAATTATGGG